TCGATGTTAAGCCTAACAAAAATTTTTTAAAATAGTAATCGTCGCTATTGTATCGTTAAAAATTAGAAAATTAAGCCTCGTTTAAATACTGGCTCCCTTTCATCGTCGAATGAGTGTTGCCAGCTAAAACACGTAAAAATAATATTAAAGTAGCCAAGACATAGCCAAATATTGTAGCGCCACATCACTAGCGGACAATTTAAATTTGCGGACTAGGACAGTCGTTTAACCGAGGTGTCGGTTAATCGGAGTTCGGATAATCGAGACTCTACTGTATTAACATCTTTAGTTTTAAATACAATATTTTTCGATACATTTTATTTTAAAAATTTATATAAAAAACAAATAATATATATCAGAACTCATATTTAAACTTGATAATTTGTAACTTTTTATCAAAATTTAATTAATTAACATTGTTTTGCTGTCAATGACCCGAAAGACATAGAATATTGTTCTGTACAACTCTATACAGTATTTATTCATGTATGTTTATTTATTCTGAAATTATGGCACATTATATCAAACATCTGGTTGAAATTAAATGTTTATTATGCTATCAACTAATATAATGAACTAATATACTTTATTCACTTCATACGTACAAGAATATAAATTTTTGTGATAAACGTATGATTTTCCAGTAGTAACACATGTAACATTTGCTGATATTTTAAATTAAAATAAAAAATAGAAAATATATATAAAATGTCAGAACCGAATATCACAACTTGAATATTTATAACAAGTTGACTTATTATATCTAAATAAACTTATTATAGTAATATTATTGCAGAAATATGCTAAAAGTGAAATAAAAAAAAAACTATCAGAAAAAATAAATTAAGAAAAAAAAGTATTAATTAAAATTTTTTAAGTCAACAAAACACCACCTAAGAGATAAATATGTAAAACGAATAATAGACAAGATAGTGTCATCAAGTGCTGACATCTGTTGTCGATAAATTTTATAAAAATTAATTTTTACTGGGGTAACGATGAATCGGTACCCTCGAAGTTTTGCTTAACAATTGATGGTACCGATCGATCACTACTTTTGGTGGCAATGGTCACGTAAAAATTGGTACTTTACCTTATCCAACGACATACCTTGTTTTTAATTCTCAGCTTGGCTTCGATCACTCCACAATCTGCCAAATCTCTATCAGAAAAATTGAAATTCTACAAATGTTCTCAATCTACCACAGAAACATTTAAAAAATTAAAGATGATGAACTGTAACAATAAATAAATGTTAGCGCCTTATATTTAAAAAGTTGAAAGATACTGTAAGTAAATATTACTATCTGAAATAAAAATAAACTTGTAGAAATTCTATGTATTTATAGGTATATAGAGCAATTTAACAGCAATATTATTTTAAGTGTACACTTAAATGTAAAAATTTTTTTGCACGATATCACTCAAGGCCATGCTCATAACCCTTGGACCAATCATTAGTTCCTACCAAGATTTTCTAATTAAAAAACTGAAACTCCTAAATACAATGTCTCCAAAGATCATATTTACAATGTAGACAATGACTTAAAACACAAGCATACGCATTTATTTTATACTATTTGGGACCAACCACTCAGATATTACTCATCTAAATGAGGTATTTATTCCAGAAATACATAACGAATATTTTCTCTCTGTAAAAATCAGATAGCCATAAGTATTGATAATATCTCCTCTTAGAATCAGACCCTCGAAAATATACGTTTTATTTTCTAGAATATAACTCACTGTACTGCTTTACCTAAATTTTAAAATATATTCCTCCAATTGTATCCAACATATACGTTTCTCTATCTTGCAAACATCTACAAAAACGATCAGAAAACCTATTGCACAGTAAGCCTTTGTGAGTTATGTTTAAATCTTTTAAATTTGTAATTACACTTGTCAATTGACTATAGTCTTCCGATTGGATCCTCTGTCTTTGACATCTAGAAAGGCAATCCTTTGACTAAATGTCATCGTAATCAATACTGTATTTTTGATATAAATAAAATACTTAAAACAACTACAAATACTTGTATGCATATATTCAGATGCGTAAAATGAAGCCTTTTTAACGAGTCTGCTGAGACATCTGTGTTCATGGGCTGATGTTTTTCATAAACGACAGCATCTTCTTTTTGCTTATCTTATGTTCTTTGTTGCAACTATCATTCCATCTGCATTGAATAGGTGAAAGCGACATCTTTAGCTAGTTAGTATGATACTTTCTTTCACAATAACTGTCAGACTTATTCCATCTTCCATGTTTAGAAATATGCAAACATGATACAAAACTACACACTAAAATATTTCTATAATAATTTCATTACCATATTTCTCATTAAAGTGAGAAATGCTGTTTTTGTGTTTTCTGCTTTCTATAAACCTTTTATTCTATAAACCTTATTTAAATTGAGTGGACTAACAACAATTCAAATAAGTTTAAAATTCTGAAATGTGTATAATAAACTCAGTGTGTGTTAGATATGTTCCACGTGTAAAGCTCACCAGTGGAAAAGTAGATAAATCTAGTGAACAGTGATAGTTGTTCGAGGGCTCGCGCTTCATTAATGTGTTAACCATTCGGAGTTCTAGACTTTTGCTCCACACATCTCGACATATGAGAGATGGGAAAAATCAAGTTTCTTGTGAAAAGTTCTGCTGGAGACATCCTATGTTGGCAGAGTGCCCAAATGTTGGGTTGTCTTAGTTCTTCGATAAATTTAATTTTTGAAAATTTACTTCTATAAAATTTCTATGAAACTTAATTAACTTTGTAATTAAATTTTATAGAAATTCAATTTCGTTTGCGTGATCTGACTAAAATTAAAATGAAAAATTTAATTAAATTGATTATTTCAAAATGAATATAATTAACAATTGTCACGAACATATGTTAGTTCCGCTTAATTTTTGAATATATTATTATATAAGAATTGCGCATTTTATTTGTTGCCAAGTGTTAAGAGTGTGTACAGCTAAAGCTTCTATACTAAAATGCGTAAATTTGAGTTGTTTCTAATATATTCGGGTTTTATTGCATTTTATGCAGCAAATGGTAATTATCAAATTTACTATTCACTTAATGTACATATATTTAAATGTAGTTTTTAAAAATTTTTACTAATTTGCTTACACATACGTATTTTTATTTTAAATTTAATGAGTACATTATTAAAAATTGGATGAGCGTGGCATAAAGAACCTCTAAACGCTGTACAAATTAATTACACTAATAATTCAATTTGTCAAAAAACAAAATATAAATAGTTTGTCTTTCCCATACGAAATAAATTGTTGTCTTTTTGTATATCTTAAAATATTTTCTGCATGATTAATCGAAAAAATGTTGTCAGCAATGTAACGCATAAACGAACTGTCTCATAATAGAATCTTGTATCAGATGCTGGAAATATGTATATTAAAATACGTGAAAAATACCTGAAAAACTCCACATGGACAGACCATTGGTGAGACACAAATCCATGACCAAAAGTGTTTTGCAGTTTTTTTCTTTTTGAATTAGTCTGAAGATTTCATCTGGTTTACGGGTTATTTTCTTACGGGTTGATCCGGGTTTTCATCTCGTGACAAATGAAAATTAGTTTCCCATGTTTCTTATCCATGGGGAGATGCCAAGTAGGCATTTTTCCCCATGAAAGATCGCCAATAATTTGCATTGCCTTATTCAATCGATTCGGTCTAATTCTAGTTTATTTTGGATAAATATCAGAAACAAGTGTATTTGCGAATTATATATTTGAATAATTTTATTTTAAAACTTATGTATATGTATTTTATTACTATTATTATTTCATTTAGCCGAAAATGAAACAGATAAATTACCCTGGAAAATTGCAGGAATTCAGGTAGTATCTAATTTATAAAATAAAACTTTATAAATGAAATAAATAATAAAGTTTAAATATCTTACAGCTCGAATACGTAATAAAACTTGACGATAGTCAAGAACATATTGTTTCTGGTTTTCATTTTGAACTGTTTAAAATTCTGCAAGAAAGATTAAAATTCACGTAAGTTCATATTTTATTTCAATTCATAAAAGATCAATATGTTTTCAAAAAATATTTCCAAACAACTATATTCCAAGAGACCAATATTAATCGTTTCAAAATAAAATTTAGGCCAACTAGTAGCCAAACGGTTTCAAACCACTGGATGAGTTAAAAGTCCTGTTTACTTTTCATTCCAAAATCACTGAAAATATATTAATTTTTGTTATTGCAATTACAAAGGATGTTTTTCCATTGACATTATAAATGATTTTCATAATTCTTTATGCCCTTCAATGTATTACTGCTGATGGCACATACTTTATACATGTACTTAAATAATGTGTTCTTTTGACAGTTATTTTTACATTTAATTAAATCCTGACACTCCTTTAATTTGTATCATGTAAATTAATATATCTTCAGTACTTTTCAAATGTAAAAGGCTCAAGGGATATTTGATTCACTCTCCATTTATTTTTTTCATTTTTAGGAATATTTACAAATGAAACGATTTCTAAATTTTTCTTTTGTTTGTTTTATCAGGTATAAAATAGTAAAACCAATTCCAAAGACTTTCGGCGGAAGAGACAAAAATGGTTCTGCAATAGGAATGTACGGACAACTCATAAATAATGTATGTTGTTAATTATAGTTACTTTATTCTTTTTTATAATTAAATCTCACGAATTGTCCTATTCTACATATTAATTAACTGATGGAACTGAAGTTGTTAATACAGTATTTACTTACTAAGTACAGTACTTATCAAAATACATTAAATAAAAATGCATACAGCTTTAAAAACAACAAATGTTAAAAATTCTGCAGCTTTTCAGCATGACAATTCATGCAAAATTTTAACTTATTTCGGTTAATGAAGTATAATTGCTTATTTCAAAATTACGTGTACCTTGAACATTACGAAAACTTTCGCGTTGTGTCAAATATGTGCTATACAGTACATGAAAATTTTTTAAAAAATATGATTTTTTGAACATGCGATATTATGATAATAGCGTTTTTAAAGTGAATTAGAAATATAAGGTGGATTATAAAATCTAGGCGTTAGCTATTTAATATAGCTTAAACTTCTGTCCTGTTTATAGTTAATCGTATAGGTAAAGCGGTTATCGCTTTAATCTACCGATTTGGGAAAACCGAATTCGAAACCGAGATATAAACAAAACCCGGAAGTCTTAATGTATGTGTCATATGTCCATCCTCATTACTTGGCATTCACAGTTTGGTTCGATCAAATCTTGGCTTTATAAAACAGCTTTTTTAAGTTCCCACAAGATAAAGGATGCAATAGTTTCCTTACCATTCAGCAAGCAAATGGCCATTGCTAATTTGTTATATCCATATGAAAAGTCAGTACTAGACTATGGTACATGGTTTAAATGTAAGTTTTGTAATGAACTCAATATTATAAATCTTTTATTTTATAGGAAGCGGAATTTGCCTACGTTCCAAGTATCGTTATTTATGAATTTTTTAGAATTTTGCATTATTCTTCTCATGTTACCTTCAACAATTTCTTGTTTATAGTCAAGACTCCTGCACAAAATCCCAACTGGAAATCCATTATTAATTCATTTTCATATGAGGTATGATACGTTTTCTTTCTTTATATGACACAAAATAAAAATTTTAGACTGCGTTTCTTCAAGTAGATTTGGATGATATTAATTGCATCCATAATCGTATTCGGATTGATTTTGCATCGAGTAATAAACACAAATTTTTCTGAGAGTCGGGCTCATGAAACATGGTCGAGAGGAAAGACGTTTTGGTTCTTATTCGGGTCTTCTGCAAATCAAGGTAAAAATTTAGAAATGTTGCATAAAATATTGTAAATTTAAATACATTTTTTGTGTATTGAGCTTTAACTGAATTATTCTAAGAACTTAAAGAGAAAAAACCTATTTCAGCAGCAATTTTTTAATTTTATCTAACGCTTTCAACTATCTGTGTAACAATTGTCCAGATCCAACATTTTGAATAGAATTTTTTAACGTTTATATATTACCTTCTAAACAGGAATTATTTAAATACATAGAATTGGTTAATTGAAAATAGCAGTAAATGTGTACAACACTTCCGAAGGTATACAGAATAAAATAAATAAATAAGTATGCTTAAAAATAAAATGAAAAATAAAAGTGCACATTAGTAAGCAGAAATATACTGACCTTTACACATACAAAAGTAATCAAGAAAATCTTCTAAGCTGGTAAATCTGCTGCCGTTAATTGAATGGGTAAAAATTAGGTCACCGGGTATATATAGGTTTCTTGGTTTTGCTAAAGCCCACAAAACAGGACACCAGTTACGACCGGTAGTAGAGAAATGTGCTTTGCTGACATATATTAGAAAAATACATATACAATCTAATAAAGGACCGACGGTTATACACAGCTTTCAGCGTTACTAACCTAGTCCATTTGGCAAAGAAACTAAGGCAGTAGTCTTAACAGATGATGAATACATATATCAGAACTTATACCCTTCAATTAAACTACAACCTTGTCATGATAGTTTACATAAGCAATTAAGTAGAAGCGTACAAGGGCAGAGCATTCAGGCCATCCATGTCCAAACTTTGAAAGAGATAGTACAATTAATATGCTGCACATTTTTCTTTCAATTTTAGGGCGAAGTATACATGCAAAAAGGTGTCATAATGGGTAGTCTTAGGGCAGGATTACTTTGCGAGCTTGTGCTAAGTATGGAGAGTACCCTGATTCCAAAAATCCAAATAACATTTGACTATAAAAACGTTTCGTCGATGATATATTAATCATATTGAACAAAAACCAAACGTACAGCAGTTTGTGAACACCTTCAATAATAATTCGTATGAATTGATAATAACCTTAGGCCAATTGAGTAATGTGAGAACACATTTCCTCGATTTAAGCATCACCCTACTGAATGTCGAAATCCATACAATTTTTTATCTTAAACATACCAATCACGCAATATACTACATACCTAGCTGTTCAAATGATTCGCCCAAATATAAAATAGCAGCATTTAAGACCCTAATGAAAAGAGTATATACCCACATCACAGACATAAGGGGCAGCACTAAAAAATTGAACAGAATCAAAAGCATCGCTGCTGCGCACGGGTACAGCCATACCATGGTTAATTGTTAATTACCACATACAGCACTTAGATATTGCAGGAAACCCAAACACATTCTGTTTGTAATATTTCCTGTTACATATAATAAATTACAGGTAGGCCTCCTACAACGCGGTACCTTTACAACGCGTTTTCGCTCTAACGCAGTTGGAAAAATGCGGAAATTTTCTTACAACAAGGTACTTTTACAACGCGGTTTACGGTATTTAGAAACAAATTATCTTCACATAACAGAAAAATCGCAACGGATCACGTGATACAAGCCGCAGTTTGGCATACAGAGCTAAAAGTCTTTGAAAGCAGCTGTTTGTAAACGTTGGCGTTTATTCCCTTGAAAGTTTCAAGGGAAAACCGGTTTCTAGACAGATGTGCATCAATTACCGTAAACACTCAAATATATCACTAAATTTTCGATCATTTATACTCTTTCAATAAGTGGGGACTGCAAAATGGTCCAAAATACAGAATAAACTTCTATTGGGTATATATTTTTAACAACATAGTGAAAGGAAGTTATTTTTTGCGATTTTTACTGTACACAAAACTGATTGAAAAAATTTTAGCCATACCAATGCCGAATGAAAACAAAGGACCGTCGTTAAAAAAGAAATTTATAAATCTTCAAACAAAGATAGAAATTTTGGATNTTAATCATTTTTACATTACTTCTTATGGGAAAGGTTGGTTTGGTATACGTCCAATTCGGTATAAATCCAAACATCGGGAACAGATTAAGGTCGTATACCGAGGTTCCACTGTATAAACAATATTTGCGCTGTTTGCAATTAAATTTAGAAAATCAGTCCATAATTGTTTGTTCTCTACCGTAAATTTTATTTCATTTTGAAAGAAAAAATTGTCAATTGAGATTACTTCTCTTGTATAACATTTGTATAGTGTCGTAGGTCTCCCTCATTTTTAATTTTTCGCTTCTTGTTCTTTTGAATTAAGTCGTGTAGAATAGAAATAGAATGAAAAGTGGAGCTGACTATTCCTAAAATAATCTGAGCCATCCTGAAGCTACAGATGACGTAAATAATTTAATTTAATTTAAAATAATTTAATTTAATTTAGAGTGTAAACTTACTGTAATTAGTTTTTCGAAGAACTTTTTTATTGACTTCATCATGCCACGAAAATCGAAGTACAGTAAGACCCGCTTCACGAGGGCTTAGAAAATTTTTAGGAATTAGGACAGTTTTTGTCTATTGATGGTGTAAAATGCTTCGGACTAATTTATAAAACTAAGAATTAAAAAGAGTTGCTTGTTGTTTCAGCACTAAGTGAGTCTCCTAATTCAATGGATCGGTTTGGTGGTGTTTCACGTTTTTAAAAAGTTTGCTTTAGTACTTCTTAAAATTAATGTCAAAAATAGTTCTATTCTTTTGTGTAACATTCTATTGTAAGTTTTTGGCGGTACAGTAAGTCTGATTCTTATGTAAACGTCTTTTTATTCTTTTCTTTATGATACAATTTTAATATGGAAATTATAACCTCGTTTGACTAATCATTAGATACAACATAAGCAAATAACTAGAATTTAACTATTTTTGAATTTAATAACACTTAATGCAATTTTCAGTACTAAATGAAATTTATTCTAATAGTGACCTTATAATTAATTTTATGTACATAGTATAGCGTAAATTGATGGAAAATAAATAATTAAATATTAACACATAATCAAAACTTTCAATAAATTTACTGCTGGAAATATCAATTTTGATTAGAAGTAATGGAAAGATCTTTGGTTGTAGCACTTGAAGTATCATATAATGAACATTATATTCAATATATTTATTCAAGTTTTACTTATTGACATGAAATGTAAGATTCCAAGGATTAACTTTACTATTATAGATTGTTTTAATAGTATTACGCTAACTTATACATTTCTATTATTACACTATTTTGATAAATTAATACCCATGTATCGATTGAGAGTTATTATTAAATGTCATTCCAATGTATCGTTGTCTTTCATTCTTTATATTATTTTAACACGGTAGTACAAATTGTTCAATACTTCTTTTTCAATAACCAATAAAGTATCAAATACTTCACAACCTAACCTATCTACGCAGAGGGTCCAAAAGCTCCCTTCATGTTGGTCGAAGTATCTGTGTCTTTCTCAAAACTGACATATTTTGCTCAAAATATGTTAAAAGGTACAGACATTTTCCACATACCTCCATCTATCAAGCTGAAGATGTTGACTATCAAGCTGTTCAGTAAGCCAATTCACTACCAAACAAAACTCTGTCTATGAACATTTACAATGATTCTCGGTCTGTCATAAAACTTCTATTAAATCCCAATTGCAATAGCAATAATATCACATATATCCAGCACCATATTAAAAATCTTGTAAATAAGATAACTATTATATATTTTTCTGGCCATACTGTCATACTTAGAAATGAAAACAGTGGGGTGTGGCTGTGTCTGCATGGCTGTGTGTTTTACGTTTTATATACATGCCATAATCATTCTTTAACAGTAAGAAGTCTTTCGGATCTCCATGTTTTTTTACGTTTCCGGCACGGCTTCACTCTATCATATGGTGTTTTATGGGTATCACTGGATTGCTCTTGAGAAGCCCTTTCTAACCGAATACGATATCTATATTTTGATATGGCTTTTTGCCGAGTATAGGGCAACATTGTATTAATTTTTCTTAATTTTAAATTTAACACTATAAATATTCACCATATCTATTCCACACTAATGTTTTGTGTATGCAATCGATAAACATTTACAAGAGCTGTAAATTAAAAGTGTAACGACTGTCATAGCTTCTCTGAGTAAAAATTTATACTAAACAGAAAGTATGTGACACGGCAAAACAACCTTAAAATGGCGGCACTTTCCCCTCTGCTGCACGAGATGTGTCACAGTCCTCACTTAACGTAATGAATTCTTAAATCCTTTAACTATCGAATGATGTAATTAAATTTTTGATGTAGATGATAGATTTGTATCTCAATGCCAAACTGTATCCCCCTGATTTTGTTATCATCAGTTTTCTGGATTGCCTCCCATTGTGGAAGCAAATTTAAAGACGTATTCACGTCAAAAGTTGACTTAGAGGCTATGTCAGCTGCAAAGGACTCTCTGACTTGGACTACACTCACATCCCTCTCTCACGTAGCAGCCATAAATATTATATTCATGAGAACGCTATGCAAAAGCGGAATGAACAATGGTTGAGCAGTAAAACTGGTAGAATAACAAAACTTTATTTTTTTGTCCACTCATTAAGGTTGTTCAGAAGTTAGTGTTTAATGCTTTTTACAATTATGTTCAAATCACATGGAAGAAAAGACTATTTATAATTTCTAGTTTTACATTTTTGTTTTCACTAAAAGCCAAATACTAATTTTATATTTACTTTTTGTATCATGTATTTTAGTTTATGTATTCTTAGTGTAATACACCGATAGTACTGGTGCATTTATTCTAATATTAAAACAAAGAGAGAGAAAAAATCATCACACTGCCTTTTTCCCATGAAAAGACGTGTAGAGCATCAGTCTACTAGCGTTATTATTTTATCAAGTCACATGAGACAGCTTTAATACAACGAGCATTCTTAATAGAAACCACTAAATTGAAGACAAATTCAAAACTTCATTATTCAATGATATCAAAAAATAAAAATAAAAATATTACGTAAGACAAGATTTATTATTCCCAACCTCTGAGTAAGTAATTGTAAGAAATTGTCGATCCCCACCCACCTTAAAATACCTTATTTAATTTATGGACAGCCCCAAAGTAATATAGGTCAGTCATGCGATATTATTTTAAAAATTCACCAAAAATCAAATATCATTATATTTATATGAAAAAATCACATACATTTACAGTAGAGCCTCGATTATTCGACTCAATTGGGGACAGGGTTTGGTTGGATAATTGAAAAGTCGGATAACCGAAAAGTGTGAAAAAATCCATTATTAGTGTAGTATATTATTATATCCCACGTAATTAGTATATTAGCATATCGCTATTAACCTACTTCACGTTGAATTTTCTTCAATGTTAAGCCTAACAAAAATTTTTTAAAATAGTAATCGTCGCTATTGTATCGTTAAAAATTAGAAAATTAAGCCTCGTTTAAATACTGGCTCCCTTTCATGGTCGAATGAGTGTTGCCAGCTAAAACACGTAAAAATAATATTAAAGTAGCCAAGACATAGCCAAATATTGTAGCGCCACATCACTAGCGGACAATTTAAATTTGCGGACTAGGACAGTCGTTTAACCGAGGTGTCGGTTAATCGGAGTTCGGATAATCGAGACTCTACTGTATTAACATCTTTAGTTTTAAATACAATAGTACAGTAAGACCCGCTTCAC